GTAGTGTGATTACCAGGAGATGGAACCAAGGGGACAACAAGGACTTTGTGTACAGGAGACTCCGACTATTCCAAGACAAGATCATCATTATTATTTTGTATTATAGACAATGGACCTTTTTTTTTTTTTTTACATCAGATTCTGGAAATGGGACTGTGCGAGTTACAGCAAGACGTTGTTCATTCTCAAATTATACCTGTAACCAACCTTTGATATGCCCAGCCATGTGATATACGCCAAGCTGCCTTCACTTGTCACCCAGTATGATTTATGGAAGATTTATTACAAGACTTCTGACAGATACTGTCAGACAAAGCAGCCCCAATACCAAATCAGAAGGCTAACCGGTCTGGGCAAACTCCATGCTGATGAGAGGAAGTTCATCTTTCAGACTCTGTGTCCTTGTAGGGCCACTGAGCCATTCTGCATGTGATATTCAGAGAAACAGGCCTGAATCATTTATTAAAATCACCGAATATGGAGTCAGGGGTGAAAATACTCCACCAGCGCAGGACTCCACCCTCTGAACTGATGAGGATTGCCACATCTCTCTGTGCTGCACGATGCTGGAGAAAGAGGAGGCGGTCCACCGGCGGGGGGGGTACCTGCCAGGCAGAAACAACCAAGAGGTTACATCAAGCAGTCCTGTCCCTGACCACCTGCACTAGGGTCAGAGCACAATTATTACTCACCTGTGGTCACTGCTCCGCCCTCTTTGACAATAATGGGTGCCTGGTCTTCCCCTGGAACTCTGCTGGTGGATGTCACTTTTAGAAACAGAGAGGTCAGTGCACAGTGTATGGGATCTGAACAGAGTGTGAACAGAGCGCCGCACACCTCCATTTATACATTAGGAGCAGCATGGCATATCATAGCACCAAATCACATTAGTATTCTCTTCTAAATGGTCAGTGTGAGCGTTTGTGTGATTTGCAGCTTTACATCTGACATATACATGATGGACCCAGCTAGACTACATCCTATAAGGACCACCCAGTGCAGTGTGATGTCGGTGTATGGGTGCCCCCTCATCTATAAACCCAACATATACATGATGGACCCAGCTAGACTACATCCTATGAGGACCACCCAGTGCAGTGTGATGTCGGTGTGTGTGGTGTATGGGTGCCCCCCCCCCCCCCCCCATCTATAAACCCAGCTAGACTGCATCCTATGAGGACCATCCAGTGCAGTGCAGTGTGATGTCAGTGTATGGGTGTGATGTCCCCCATCTATAAACCCAGCTAGACTGCATCCTATGAGGACCACCCAGTGCAGTGTGATGTCAGTGTATGGGTGCCCCCATCTATAAACCCAACATATACATGATGGACCCACAGACTGCATCCTATGAGGACCATCCAGTGCAGTGTGATGTCAGTGTATGGGTGTCCCCCATCTATAAACCCAACATATACATGATGGACCCAGCTAGACTGCATCCTATGAGGACCATCCAGTGCAGTGTGATGTCAGTGTATGGGTGTCCCCTTCTATAAACCCAACATATACATGATGGACCCACAGACTGCATCCTATGAGGACCACCCAGTGCAGTGTGATGTCAGTGTATGGGTGCCCCCATCTATAAACCCAACATATACATGATGGACCCACAGACTGCATCCTATGAGGACCATCCAGTGCAGTGTGATGTCAGTGTATGGGTGTCCCCTTCTATAAACCCAACATATACATGATGGACCCACATAGACTGCATCCTATGAGGACCACCCAGTGCAGTGTGATGTCGGTGTATGGGTGTTCCTTCTATAAAAACCCAACATATACATGATGGACCCACAGACTGCATCCTATGAGGACCATCCAGTGCAGTGTAATGTCAGTGTATGGGTGCCCCCATCTATAAACCCAACATATACATGATGGACCCAGCTAGACTACATCCTATGAGGACCATCCAGTGCAGTGTGATGTCAGTGTATGGGTGTCCCCATCTATAAACCCAACATATACATGATGGACCCAGACTGCATCCTATGAGGACCATCCAGTGCAGTGTGTCAGTGCATGGGTGCCCCCATCTATAAACCCAACATATACATGATGGACCCAGACTGCATCCTATGAGGACCACCCAGTGCAGTGTGATGTCAGTGTATGGGTGCCCCCATCTATAAACCCAACATATACATGATGGACCCACAGACTGCATCCTATGAGGACCACCCAGTGCAGTGTGATGTCAGTGTATGGGTGTCCCCTTCTATAAACCCAACATATACATGATGGACCCACATAGACTGCATCCTATGAGGACCACCCAGTGCAGTGTGATGTCGGTGTATGGGTGTTCCCTTCTATAAACCCAACATATACATGATGGACCCACATAGACTGCATCCTATGAGGACCACCCAGTGCAGTGTAATGTCAGTGTATGGGTGCCCCCATCTATAAACCCAACATATACATGATGGACCCAGCTAGACTACATCCTATGAGGACCATCCAGTGCAGTGTGATGTCAGTGTATGGGTGTGTCCCCCCCATATATAAACCCAACATATACATGATGGACCCAGCTAGACTACATCCTATGAGGACCACCCAGTGCAGTGTGATGTCGGTGTATGGGTGCCCCCATCTATAAACCCAACATATACATGATGGACCCACATAGACTGCATCCTATGAGGACCACCCAGTGCAGGTGATGTCAGTGTATGGGTGCCCCCATCTATAAACCCAACATATACATGATGGACCCAGCTAGACTACATCCTATGAGGACCATCCAGTGCAGTGTGATGTCAGTGTATGGGTGTCCCCATATATAAACCCAACATATACATGATGGACCCAGCTAGACTACATCCTATGAGGACCACCCAGTGCAGTGTGATGTCGGTGTATGGGTGTCCCCTTCTATAAACCCAACATATACATGATGGACCCACATAGACTGCATCCTATGAGGACCACCCTTTGCAGTGTGATGTCAGTGTATTGGTGTCCCCATCTATAAACCCAACATATACATGATGGACCCACATAGACTGCATCCTATGAGGACCACCCAGTGCAGTGTGATGTCAGTGTATTGGTGTCCCCATCTATAAACCCAACATATACATGATGATGGAGCCAGCTAGACTACATCCTATGAGGACCACCCAGTGCAGTGTGATGTCAGTGTATTGGTGTCCCCATCTATAAACCCAACATATACATGATGGACCCACATAGACTGCATCCTATGAGGACCACCCAGTGCAGTGTGATGTCAGTGTATTGGGTGTCCCCTTCTATAAACCCAACATATACATGATGGACCCACATAGACTGCATCCTATGAGGACCACCCAGTGCAGTGTGATGTCAGTGTATTGGTGTCCCCATCTATAAACCCAACATATACATGATGATGGAGCCAGCTAGACTACATCCTATGAGGACCACCCAGTGCAGTGTGATGTCGGTGTATGGGTGTCCCCCCATCTATAAAACATATACAGGATGGACCCGGCTGTACCACATGTTATAGGCACCACCTGGTGCAAGGATGACCGCAGTGTGTCAACATTACCTGTGTGATGGACATTTCCTCAAGTACAGATACAGTCTCTGTGTCTCCACATTCCAGACAATGATCTCTCCATCAAAGCTTGCTGTTACCAGGAGACCCAGAGACGGGCAATAGTCTGCCGCCATGATGTCATCCTTATGCAGATGACCCCCTTTCCAGGACTCATCCGCTGGTACATACATGTTCTATGGAGAAAGTGAGAGGAGATTGTATGAGTGTATTCAAGGATATCTCAATCACCAAACCAAGATGACATATTAGTTAATGTTACCTGCAGGCTTGACACATTTATTCTAAAGATCTAAAAGGAACGGACAGCCAGAATACCATGATAATCACTGGGACATTTATACTGCTAAAATGGGAAATCTGATCTGCTAGAGCTGACTGCCCACTAACATGCAGAAATAAACACTGGAGAAGAAGATGGAGTCAGCTAACCTCGGTTTTCGGGATATTGTAGGTGACAATCTTCCTGTTCCAGCCAACACTGAGGAACCTGTTCTCTCGGAGCGGCAGTACACAGGTGACCTCAGCTTCTTCCACTGGCTGAAGTCTGTGCAGGTTGTGTCCATTCTGGACGTTCCAGATCTAAAAAGATAGATGAAAAAGGAGTACAACCCCAATCAAGAGTTAATCATGAAAGGTCTTTCTTGTTACAGGAAGATGGCTCTGTTGATGTGTAGAATATTGGGGGATACAATTCTATGGTACTAATTTCTGGATTCCTTACAGCCATTCATACACCTGATCCTCTTAAGGTGTAAGGTATACCTTGATGGTGCCATTCTGGGCTCCGCTGACCAGCTTTCTCCTCGATGTGTCCAGTGCTAAACATGTGACCTCCTCCTGGCCATGAGCATTTTTCAGAAGAAGAAACTTGTCGCCTGTTTCCACGTCCCAGACCGCTATGCTGGAGTCCTCACTTGCTGTCACCACCTGAAACAAACACGCAGAGGGTTAGGATGGACATCCTTAGGATAATAGCTTGTGGGTAGCTGCACCAAATACTCCAGGAGATCAGACCTGTATGAGACGGGCTCACCTGATGGAAGACATCATTGTACAAGACAGAGGATAGACACACCTCATGTGTCTCGGAGTCTCCATATTCCAGGAGATCAGACCTGTATGAGACGACTCACCTGATGGAAGACATTGTACAAGACAGAGGATAGAGATACCTCATGTGTCTCCCAAGTCTCATTATCCAAGAAAACAGACCTGTATGAGACGAATCAGCTGATGGAAGACATCACTGTACAAGACAGAGGATAGACACACCTCATGTGTCTCGGAGTCTCCATATTCCAGGAGATCAGACCAGTATGAGATGGACTCGCCTGATGGAAGACATCATTGTACAAGACAGAGGATAGACACACCTCTACAGAGTCGCTATATTCAAGATCATATCTGTATGAGACGGACTCACCTGATGGAAGAAGCCATTGTACAGGACAGCTGATAGTGGTGCCTCATGTGTCACCAGAGTCTCCTCAGAGCATTTATGGTCCAGTCTCAGCATTGCAATGTAGTCACAGTAAGAAACAAGCAAGCAGTGTGAAGGTGATGGTACCAGGAGGAAAGGGAAGTGTCCTTGTTCCTGGGTCCTTCCAGGATGGATGCATGGGAACTTCAGAACCAGTGTCTGCAGGCAGCTATGTGAGGAGATGTCCCAAACTTTCAGGACCTGTAGAGAGATGGGGGACCATTCGGTCACACATTGCACCATTATACCCAACAACTGTGCACTCACATTGATGGAACACACACAACTCTCCAGACTGTATTTGTACTATAAGTGTCTATACTTACAGAGTCCTTCGAGTAGCTGAATATTTGTCTGAGAGGTTCATATACAACCACATCAAGGATGGGCATGGTGTGCTCTGAGAAGACAGCAGTAGGGCGAGTGGGGACATACTGGTTCCAGAGTCTGATTTTGTGATCCAGCCCTCCAGTTACCAGCAGGTTCATGGTCTTGCAGAAGTCAAAGCACTGAACACCCTGTAGAACAACAAGCTGAGTCACACAATGACCTCCAACAGCCAAAACCAAATAGAAGTGGTGTAACTCCACTAACCTTACTGATCTTCCAGGTGTAAACGTTCCCTCGTCTATGGATGTCCATGATGACCACTGAGGTCTTCCAGGTGCCGGATGCTGAAATGATATGATCCTGTCCTGGGATGTATAGGAGTCTGGTCACAGGTTCTGAGTGGACATTAGGGATAGACTGGTAGCTAAGGAAACTGCTATGATGTCTCAATTCCTATAAAAAAAACAGGTATTGTGATCATTTGGGAAAATTCATGACACCTGATATCTCAGTTTAAGTCATCGGCACAAATACCACATGGTCAGATATCGGAAACATCTACAATCAGGTATATACCTTCCCCCCTCCAGCCAATGGAGTTCAGGGATTCATAGCTCCTAGTTTGTCAGATTATCTTCTATATTCTGTAATCCCCAATCCTGATATGCATGTGTGTTCCTCAGAAAGGTGGGGGAATTTATTCCGTTCCATAGACACGCGTGGTGCAGAAGACATATGGAGAGAAAATTTGCCATCTGTTGTCAATCTCGGGTTTCCTCACCTGCATGTATATCTTGTGTGGTCCCGGCTGCTGGCTGAATGGCTTCGCAAAGAGACCGGAGCTTGGCTTCAGTAGCCACAACAAGTTAATCCCACCCTTATCATCCCCCCACAGGAGAAGAGATGGGCTTCCAGGGGCCTGTGGAATAAGAAGACACCAAGTGACAAAGAAGAGAGGAGAAAAGGAGGAAAAAAAAAAAGGAGGGGAAAAAAAAAGGGAAAAAAAGGAGAAAAGGAGGAAGAAAGGAAAAAAGGAGAAGAGGAAGAAGAAAGAAAAAAAAAAAGGAGGAGAAAAGGAGGAAGAAAGTAAAAAAGGAGAAAAGGAGGAAGAAAGGAAAAAAAGGAGAAAGAAAGGAGAAAAGGAGGAAAGGAGGAAAAAAGGAGAAAAGGAGGAAAAAGGAGGAAAGGAGGAAAAAAGGAGGAAAGGAGGAAAAAAGGAGGAAAGGAGGAAAAAGGAAAAAAGGAGAAAAGGAGGAAAAAAGGAGAAAAGGAGAAAAGGAGGAAAAAAGGAGGAAAAAAGGAGAAAAAGGAGGAAAAAAGGAGAAAAGGAGGAAAAAAGGAGAAAAGGAGGAAGAAAGGAAAAAAGGAGGAAAAAAGGAGGAAAGGAGGAAAAAAGGAGAAAAGGAGGAAAAAAGGAGGAAAGGAGGTAAAAGGAAAAAAGGAGGAAGAAAAAGGAAGGAAAGGAGGAAAAAAGGAGAAAAGGAGGAAGAAAGGAAAAGGAGAAAAGGAGGAAAAAGGAGGAAAAAAAGGAGGAGAAAAAAAAGGAGAAAAGGAGGAAGAAAGGAAAAAGGAGAAAAGGAGGAAAAAAGGAAAAAGGAGAAAAGGAGGAAGAAAAAGGAGAAAAGGAGGAAGAAAGGAAAAAAGAAGGAAAAGGAGGAAGAAAGGAAAAGGAGGAAAAAGAGGAAGAAAGGAAAAAGGAAAAAAGGAGGAAGAAAGGAAAAAGGAGAAAAGGAGGAAGAAAGGAAAAAGGAGAAAAGGAGGAAGGAAAAAGGAAAAAAGGAGGAAGAAAGGAAAAAGGAGAAAAGGAGGAAGAAAGGAAAAAGGAGAAAAGGAGGAAGAAAGGAAAAAGGAGAAAAGGAGGAAGAAAGGAAAAAGGAGAAAAGGAGGAAGGAAAAAGGAAAAAAGGAAAAAGGAGAAAAAGGAGGAAGAAAGGAAAAAAAGGAGGAGGAAAAGGAGGAAGAAAGGAAAAAGGAGAAAAGGAGGAAGAAAGGAAAAAGGAGAAAAGGGAGGAAGAAAGGAAAAAGGAAAAAGGAGAAGAAAGGAAAAAGGAGAAAAGGAGGAAGAAAGGAAAAAGAAAAAGGAGGAAGAAAGGAAAAAGAAAAGAAGAGAAGAAAGGAAAAAGAAAAGAAGGAAGAAAGGAAAAAGAAAGGAGGAAGAAAGGAAAAAGAAAAGGAGGAAGAAAGGGGAAGAGTAGGTGGCTTCAAGGGGAGGAGGAGAAGAGAGGGGCTTCCAGGGGTCTGTGGAAATAAAAAGAGAAGTGTATATTACCTTGACATTGTGCCAATACGAGAAGCAGGTGGGGACATGCTGCAAAGCTGAAGGACAAAAGTAAAGCTGTGAGGTTACATTGTAGCAATAATCAGATGTTATTGTGGTGATGTCACATCTTATGTATCGGAGAAGATAGAATGTATGAGGGTTCGGTCTAACAGTGATGACAAACCTTTATTATGGCTGGAATGTTTCTATCCTATTATGAGGGTTAGTAAATCTGGCTTAGTATTGGTAAGTGTTCATACACACCTGTGAATGGGGCAGCATGTGATTGTATGAGGCAGCCTTTGGAAAGCAATGGGAGGCTGCCAGTTTCAGAAGCTTGTGGATTAATTACCTGTGAGTAACATACAGGGGAGGGACAGACATACCACCATTGTATAGGGTCAGCCTTGACAGTGATGATGACATACAGGGGAGGGACAGACATACCACCATTGTGGGTCAGCCTTGACAGTGATGATGAGACATACAGGGGAGGGACAGACATACACCATTGTATAGGGTCAGCCTTGACAGTGATGATGAGACATACAGGGGAGGGACAGACATACAACCATTGTATAGTCAGCCTACAGCGATGATCAGACATACCACCAGCCTGACAGTGACGATGAGACATACAGGGGAGGGACAGACATACCTCCTGTGACAGACCCGACCAGGGCCATGGTTAGTGGGTAAGAGGCTAGCCTGCAGTTCCCTCCAAAAGCCCCTGTCCCGGTTGGGTCTGTCACACCGCCATTGTATGGGATCGGTAATCTTTATACTTACCACACAGGTAGAACTCCTCAGATGTGTTTATGGTGGAGATGTCGAAGAAGTGGAGGTTTCGGCTAGTGGTGGCCACAGTGACTTTGTGAACATTGGGAAGATAAATGGCATCGGTAGTCCAAGACTTGAACCTTCTCCTCCCAGCCTGAGGGTCTTGGGTGTGAGAAGAGACCTGCAATGTAGAGGACCAACGTTGCCCTACCACTATAACACAGACCTTCAGCTCTTACTGAGAACAGATCACACCAGCACCATGTGACTAGCCAGCACAGGGGGAAAGCACACACTCAGTGATTGAACACAATTTTACACCATGTCTACATATCAGTGAATGGAATCCGTTCAAGGCGCCAGTTATCTCTGCATGACATCTCAATATGCAGCATGTCATACCTTTCACAGGACAGCATGACCCATCTTCATTATACAGCATGGCCCAACAGGGCCCCACACAGTCCTCCAACATCCCGGCCCCACACAGTCCTCCACCATCCCGGCCCCACACAGTCCTCCACCATCACGGCCAACATGGTCCCACACAGTCCTCCACCATCCCAGCCAACACGGCCCCACACAGTCCTCCACCATCCCAGCCAACACGGTTCCACAGAGTCCTTCACCACCCCAGCCAACACGGCCCCACACAGTCCTCCACCATCCCAGCCAACACGGTTCCACAGAGTCCTCCACCATCCCAGCCAACACGGTCCCACACATCCCACCATCCCAGCCAACACGGCCCCACACAGTCCTCCACATCCCAGCCAACACGGTTCCACAGAGTCCTTCACCACCCCAGCCAACAGCGTCCTCCACCATCCCAGCCAACACGGCCCCACAGTCCCCACCATCCCAGCCAACATGGTCCCACACAGCCCTTCACCACCCCAGCCAGCGTGGCCCCACACAGCCCTTCACCACCCCAGCCAGCGTGGCCCCACACAGTCCAGAGAATGCTTGTTACCCAAGACCTTCACTGACTGATACCATGGACATAATCCTAACGTTTAATAAAGAGAGTCTGATGGAGACTAAAAGCTGTGTTGTATTCTGCTCCTGTGTACTGTGCATGGTGGGACATAAAAGGTAACCTGCCCCCGTGTAATGTACCTCATAAGACTTCAATTGGTGCAGGCTGCTGTCCCATGCAGTGAGAATCCCTCCTTTGCTGACACTCATGAACCATAACGGTGGGGGGTTACTGATGGCCAGGATTCGGCAGATGGGCTCTTGCTAGAGAGAAAAAAAAGGTTATAGAGACAGAACATGGAACTCTGTGACCAATTTATCATATTTCTGGTTTTGGACACCCCCAGAGCACCCACTCAGCAATTCATGACTAAGGTGTGCCAGACAGTTCCTGCTGAGGGTGCCATTAAACGGACATGTGGGCGTTGATCTCTCTACTGAAGAGTTCTATACTGACCTTACTGTGGGTGCAGAGACGTATAATGGGCTCGGCCAAAAAGGTTGCCTTTTGCATCATCAAGTCTCTTTCCTTGTACTGCAGCAACATATATGTACAAAATTCACTCCAGTCAATGAAACCATCACATGAGGTGTCAACCTGCAGGAGAGATGGAGAAGAGAGGAGGAGATCAAGGAAGAGAGATGGGGGAGAGATAGGCAAGGCCTTTATTTCAGTGTGTTACCCAGGCCTGTTCATCAAACATGATATCATCAAGAGTTCATACAGCGAGAACAGCTGCAGTGTAGAGATGAATGTGAGAAGTACTGAGCACATTGGACTGGCCCGTCCAAGTCCAACCCTCTTCAACTTCTACGAACTGGCTGCAGCTCCATAATCTTCCCCAGAACCTGGACTGGCTCAACGTAACTGCTGTATGGATGACCTACTAATGTCACCAACAGAGAGAGGCCTGGAACTGGTGGAGAAATATAGTGCCTCATTGGCACTACCTATCAACGCAAAGAAAACAAAAACACATGGTGTTCCAAAGGAAGAACACAAGAGTGTTCCCTTAACCTTCAACACCCTAACAGCTACGTATACACTCAGCCTAGAAACAAAAAAAACAGGAAGATATGAAATGTTAGAGGTCTTGAAAGATAAGGCAAGCAGAACCTTCCATGCCCTCAGAAGACCACGGCACCACCTAAAACCCCAAGTCAATCAGAGCAACTTGAACAGTGTTTTCCCTCCAACAGAGGATTTTACTACTTGTTCTCAGTACAGAAAATGGTTCTATCACACTGGGATCACCTATAAAGATAGCAGCTCCAA